ACTGAGATTAGCCGACTAGATCATATGAACATATGAGCCCAATGACCTAGATTGAATCTTGGCCGATCCAACGGTCACGACCTCATTTCGTATTTGAAATTTAATATTTTTTTCTACGAATCCAAATAATTTGAAATTGTAGGCATGTGTTATTAAAAATTTGGAGAATCTAATAAAAATATCAAAAAAATAATTTGCAAGAAATAAATTGACCAAAATACCCATGAAAAGTTTCGGGGGTATTTTTGGTCAATTTATTTTTTGCTAATTATTTTTTAAATATTTTTATTAAGTGCGTCTTGATGAGAATGGACACCCAAAATTTCAAGTTATTTTGGATTTGTAGAAAAAAAATTAAAATTCAAACACGAAATAAGGTTGTGATCGTCAGATCGGCCCAGATTCAATCTGGGCTGTTGGGCTCATATGTTCATATGAGCTAGTGGGCTAATTTCAATATTTTCTTATATATATATATATGGGATTGTATACAATGAGACCATTTACCTTTAGAATAGAGAGGTCACAATTACTTACAACCATCCGATGTGAAATTTGATAGCTTGGGTGTGTAACAAAGTTCGAGAAAAATTCTTTTGAACTTTGAGCTTGGTCAATGAAATAAATGCAGCCACCCAATTTCACATCCAATGGTCAAGATTTATTGTGACCACCGTGTACCAAAGGTAAATGATCTCATTATATATATACGTATGTATCTAATGATGCACAAAGTGCATCAAATGGACAAAGTGATGGGTATCTTCTTTTAGAGAAGCATATTCCTCATAATTCTTGCACATACTTGGAGGATTTAAACCCCTGGGAGGGCTACGAAGAAGAATAAGAAGAGCAAGAATTGTTTGGGATAATTACCTAGCTGTTCTTGGGTGGTTTTCAGTTTTTTAAATTGCTTCTATTTTTTGCACCAACTTGGGACTTTCTAGGGATTCTGTTTAAAGTTAGGGTGTTTATTTTTATGTCACATTTAAGTTGGGATTGTGTTTAGTCATTCCAAGTCAGATGAAGGGCATTATGTGTTGAAGTTAGGATAAAGGTTCAATTTCTTATTTTATAGACAATCATTGTCATTTGAACATTAATAAATACTATTTAAGAGATGCGTTGAAGTCCGATAGGCCATTTTACTCATATTTAGAATTGAAAGCGAGAAAAACTTAGGCTTTTGGAACCCAAGCATGGGGTGAGGAGGAAACCTAGGTTTCTCCAAGCTATTTGCTTGTGTTTGGCTTGAATTCTTGTTGATTCTATTGTTTTATCTATTTTCTTGCATCAATTTGGTGTCAAAGCTTAGGTTCTTTTCAACAACAAGGCCAATAACTACAATCAAGTCTAGGACTTGCTGATTTTGGGTGAGGGCTTGCTGATTTTAGCCACAATTGTGCTGATTTCGGTGTGAATATTGTTAAATTAAGCCTAGACCTACCTTACTGATTTCAGCTAGTTTTTTGTTTATATATTGCCTACTGTTTGTGATTTTGGTGAACCTATGTTAGCGAGAGTGGCCTCGTGGAAGGGGTTTTTTCTAGATCCACTTTGTGACTCTTGAGATAAAGAAACCAAGGACCATAAAGGCAAGTTTAGTAGTTGATACAACAATTCTCAAGTATCAATCTTGTGCAACATGGTGATCCTTCGGCCCAAGAGGATCTCAAATGCAACCCCCTTCACCATCGCTCTTTGTGTGTGAATTCGCGTTGTGTTGGGATTTGAATAATGAGGATAGCGACAGCAAACCTAGACATTGGGTGCATTGCTCTAGGGATGTCAATTTGAAGGCGGATATATCTGATTTTAACAGTAAGGCTCAACCCGAGGAATGTATAGATTGGTTAAATGATGTTGAAGGGTTTTCAATTATAAGGAAGTTCCGGAAAATAAAGAAGTAAATATTATTGCAGTAAAATTGAAGAACGTGCCTCAGCATGGTGGGAACAACTTAGGGCTAGAATGGAGAGAATGGAAAAGCCCATAGTTAATACTTGTGAGAAGATTAAAAAGAAACTAAAGAAGTACATAACTAAAAATTATCTCTAATCCCTTTATCATGGAATAAATAACTGTCGCCAGGGTGAAAATAGTGTAGAGTTGTATATCGATGAATTTTATCAATTGATGGCTCGTAGTATTGGGGTAGAAAGAGAGGAGCAGTCCCTAGCTTGCTATGTTGGTGGAATTGAAGAGGGATGTTATGCGGTTTGTTGAGAGGTGCATACGTGTTAGTTGGCTAAGGGGCACAACGAAATACTAGGCTTTATTCTTCATTTCCTATTCCTAATGCACCTTGGGAGGATGTTAGCATGGATCTTGTGTCGGGTATTCTGTGGACTCAAAAGAGATACGGATACTATATTTGTCATAGTGGATAGATTTTCAAAGATAGCTCATTTTGTACCTTGCAAGATGACCTTGGTTGCTGCATATGTTGCTAATATGTACTCCAAAGAGGTGTTGAGGTTGCATGGTGTTCCAAAGACAATAACTTTAGATTGGGATACTAAGTTTCTTAGCCATTTTTGGGAACTTTGTGGAAGGAATTAGGTACTCAGTTACAATTCAGTAGTGCTTATCATCCATAAATAGATGAGTAGACTAAAGTGGTAGATCATAGTCGTAGAAAGCTTCTCTGAAGTATTGTAAGGGAAAAGTAGAAATGGTTGGATCTAGCGCTGCAGCAGTGGTCATAGTAGGTCTATTGGGAAGAATCCGTTTGAGGTGGTATATGGGAAGAACCTTGCCTATTCACTTGACTTGGCTCCTATCCAGGCCAATGGGGAGGGTCATACTACTGTTGAGATGCTGGTTTAGCATATGGAGTGCATGAGTAGGAGCATGCTAACTTGGAAGCCAATACAACCAAATACAAAGAAGCAGCAGTTAAGGTGTTTAATGTGGGAGACTAGGTGATGTTGTATCTCAAGAAGGAAAGGCATCTAGCTGGGAAATACAACAAGTTGAATGATTGTAAGCAATACCATTCCAAATTTTTAAGTAGATGGGTAGCAATGCTTACAAGGTCATCTGCCTTTGCATATGGAGATTTCAGATATCTTCAACATTGCTGATTTGTGCGAGTATCGTGGGCCAGAGTTAAAAGAAGATTAAGGTGCAAGCTCGAGGGTGTGTTCTCCTTAACCTGGAGAGAATGATGATGCACAAAGGGGTATCAAGTGGATAAAGTGATGAGTATCTTCTTGGGGAGCGCCAGATTCCTCCTAATTCTCATCCATACCTGGAGGATGTAAACCACAGGAGGTCTACCGAGAAGAATATGAAGAGCAAACACTTTTTGTGATAATTTTCTAGCTGTTTTAATGTTTTGAATTATTTATAATTGCTTCTACTTGTTGGACCGGTTAAGAGCTTTCTAGGAATTCTATTTAAAGTTAGGATGTTTATTTTTAAGTTACATTTAACTTGGGGCTGTTTTAGTCATTTTAAGTTAGATAAAGGGTATTATCGACTTTTATATTAAGTTAGGAGCAAGGGTCAATTTCTTATTTTTATAGACAATTAATATCCTTTGAGCATTAATAAAGACTATTTAAGAGGCATGTGGGAGTCTTAGGCCATTCCACATGATTTTCAGAATTGAAAGAGAGAGAGAAGCTAAGGCTTTTGGAATCTTAACTTGGGTTTAGGAGGAAACCCTCTGGTTTTTCCAAGTTATTTCTATGGTTCGTCTGAAATTCTTGCTGATTTTACTGTTCTATCAATTTTCCTGCATCAACATCGGATGACGATAAATTGCCAAATTTGTCTCCATTCCTCAAGGGCATGTTTGGATGGTTCATAAATAATAGATATCGTGAATTTAAATGATGAGCTCACATTACTTAGTATTTAGTGTGGGGCCAATGTACAAAATATGTTTTCATGCCATATAAGTAATTACTGCTTTTTGTCGTGGCTGCAGAAGTACCTAAAATGTGTTTCACTTACTCCTGGTAGAGCGGTTCAGTGCAGCAACTTATATGTGTTCTTCTTTCCATTGTTATTAAGGAGTATAATTCTTCGTACCACTTATGGCATAGAGCAGTTCGAGCCAGCCACTTTTTTTTATTATTTAGAAATAATAGCATCAACTGAAAATGATAATTTTCAACACTATAATTTAATTGCTTGTGCCTGTTTGCTCACGAGCTATACTTACATGCCCGCAGCTTGGGTTCTCTAGTAGTTGAAGTTGGAACACCTATATGGAGCTAAGGGATGTAGTACGGTCACCATGAAAATACATGTGCATTTCGAGGCAAAATTTGGTGGCTTATATGTTTTCACCGGGATTTATTGGCAAAGATATAAAAGAAATGGATAGTGGCAGGAGACCCTACCTGTTCTTGATACAATGTCTAGTTTTATGAATGTGGGACGTCCTAAATGATCTTGTCATAACTTTATGCTGTCTTATTAAAACAAATCATTCATCTTGTAACTTTTCTTAGCGGGAACTAGCTTTTAATTTGCTCATCTAGCGTAATCACTATAATCACTAATATATGTGATTGTGGTAGGTATCTTTACTTGAACCTCCTTTTGGCGAAGGTGGCATCTATGAGGCTTCTGCAAAGGACTTGAGGCCATCATTAGATTGGTCTCCTGAAGATGGTTGGACGGTGCCTTTACCTAAGGTACTTCCTTTGACACTTTATGTTGCTTAGGTAACTTGTTATTTTCATTTCTAGCAACAATCGAATTCTTGTGCATCTCAATGTTAAAATCCCGCTTCATGATATGGGAGAAATGTATTGTTTATTCAAGTGAACCTTTACAAGTGCATGGGTTTTTACTTTCTGAGACTATTTTTGTGGAGCATTTCGAGGGACTTCTATAGCTGTCATAGGCTCGGTTGATGATGATGATGATTATTTGGAGGGACTGGAATGTTGTCCTTACTAGAAAAGTTCAAATACAATAAACATTGCCCAATCCAATTGATAAAAAAGAAAAGAGAATGTCCAATCCTAGGTTCCAAATTTTGAAAACGTTTAACTTCTCATCCCTTACAGTGGAATACTTGAAAAATATAGTTGACTGACCATTGATCTTCACCAAATAAATGCTGACCATGATCGATTTATATGATTTGCACCGAAAAGTTATGAGTTGTTTTCAGTCTTAGATTGTTTAGAAATGTGATATTTTCTGCTGTTCTTGATTTTTGGTTCTGGTGGCAGGATGATGTGTCTTATCAATCCTGTGTCCTTTCATTATCACCACCATCACAAAGGAACGATCCAGATCATTTGCATAGTGAAGTTGGTCAAGTCCATGGTATATAGTATACACGCTATAGCTTTTAAAAGATTTTTCATTGAGGTTCATTTTACTTGTGCAAAGCTCTTATTTACTAAAACTATTTTCTCGGGTTTTTTAGATAGGAGAGAAGATTTGTCATCGCATGGGGATGGTCTGGTTTCAGTATCATCCAAGGAGTTCATTTCTCTTCCCATTGCACCTGAAAATGCTTCTAAACCTGATGAGATACTGAAACAAACTCTGGACCATCCATCGGGAGTAAGAATCAGGAATTCAAACGCGAAGGATATGCTTTCAGCTTTAGATTATGGAGAAGCAATGGCAGATGAGAAGTCTCGATCTACGAGAGACCGATATAATGTAAGAGGTCCTTCGAAGAGGTTGAAAACTTGTGAAGATGAATACCAAAGTCCAGTCCTGATGACCAATACCATAGAGTCATCTGTAATGGCTTTAGAGAAACTCATCAACAAGATTAACAGGCTCCAGGATGTCCTACAATTTGGCCCTCATGGTTCAATGAAACCTGTTTGGAGGTTCACTGAGAACAATGAGTCTACCAGACAAAAGTAAATGCTATGCAAAGTGCAGTATGATTTCAAACCCCTAGGTATTTGGGGCCTGGGAATATGTATTTTGCGTATTTGGGCCAATTTTGTACCCCTCACTAAAAAGGGAAAATGACCTCCACCCTCTCCTTGAAATTTACATCCCTATTAACCCTTTGGGTTCACGAAAATCTCTTGTGCCCCTCAAGTTTAAAATTTTGGGACCGTTAATCCCCTATTTATGCTTTTTTTGTTATTTTATAAAATGCCAAACCCTTCTATTAGTTAACTTATTTTCCTTTCTCTTGCCTAAAACCAATCTTATCTATGTAGACCCCACTATATAAATTTAGACATGAAAAAAAAAGATTTTTTTTAAAAAAATATTATGACCTTTTTTACAATTGCATCAATATCTTTTGAACTTGAAAAATGATTAATCAAGATCTTTATTAGTATTGTTCATGGATTATTATTATTTATTTGTTTATTTAATTAAAGAAATTTCTCAAAATACTTATAAGAGATGAATTATTTAACAATTAATATATTGTTGTTATTATGATTATTATTATTATTAATTATAATTGTTATTATTATTTTCATCATCATCATCATGATCAATAAAATTCGTATATCTGTCATTAAAAAAAAAAACAAACGGACGACTAATATAAGTTTGGCATTTTGTGACTAAATTTGTAAAAGAAACATAGAAAAACATAATTAGGGGGCTAATGGTTTCAAAGTGTTAAATTTGAGGGGGTACAAGGGATTTTGGTGATCCCAAAAGATTAATAAGGATTGAAATTTTAGAGAATAGATGTCCAATATCATTACATTCAGGATGGAGTTGAGAAAGGTGAAGTAATTTTTAGTTACTTGCTCTCGTCAGATATGGTTGTTGATCCATTAAAATTATAATTTAAGCACACTAGCTTAATGTGACTTAAAGATGTTTAAGTCAATCAAGTGACAAATCCGTATTAACATGAAAATTCTCATGATAGACAATTATTATGAGAGGGTATATTCGCGAAAGCGTGAGAAAACCTCGTAAGGCATTGCGTGTTTTATCGTACAATTGTGGGAATCCAATGTTTATTATAATTATCCAAAAAAAGTATATATAACGCTCATATGATCCAACGTCCATATGAACGTTGGATGAATATCCCTAATATTAGGGAAACTCTTTAGAGAGAAAGAAAATAGTAAAAAAAACGTTAAGGGAAAAAAAGCTTCATTTGTAAACACAGCTATTATTTCTCTCTCTAAAAGGCAAGCAATAAGGGTTTCTAATCCAAAAATCCGGGCTCTTCGAATAAAAAGGGTTTCCCTGATCTCAAGGATATTCATTTAATGTTCATATAAACGTTGCACCATATGAATGTTGGATATAATTTTTTTGGATAATTATAATGAACATTAGATTTTCACAATTGTAAGCTAAGACATGTAAAGCCTCATAGCTATCCGTGTCAACAACGTGTTTACCCCTTAACTCTTGCTTAACAATGTAGTCTAGATACATGGCATCTTAAGCCCATCCTTCCATAAATTTGCTCTCTACATGGTATAAATTTGCTCTCTACATGGTATTATCTCTCTGTATTTTTTTTTTTTCCTTTGGTGGAGTTTCTATAAATTAAGATGTCATATTTATTTAGAATTAGAATGAAACCTACATGTTTACCCAAGATAAATTTTTAATAATCTCTCTCCTTGATTTTCTCTTCATTTTTATTCTTTTGGTAGAGTTTCTATAAATGAAAATGTCATCTTTATTTAGAATTAAAATGAAATCTACATGTTTATCCAAGACAAATCCTCAATAATCTCTCTCCTTGATTTTCTTCTATCACATACTCCTCTCTCTCCGTCTCTATCAATCTCTCCAACTTCTCCTTAATATGAAAGTCTGTCTCTTTGGTTTTCTCTCTCTCCCCCAATATCCTCTCCGTGTATTCTTCTTCTCTCTCTATTTAAATGTCCCCTCCACATTTTTTCTCTCTCTTAAAGATAGGAATTAGGCACCCTCAGCTTATTTATTTATTTAGTACTAAATATGATACGCATCTTTTTAATTAGAATATAGAAATAATGTTCCGATAATTATCCGTTTTTAGAGATAAAGAATATAAAGATTCACTCTTTATTTGCCACCTAAAATAGGTTATTATTCTTTTCTCTCGCTTAAATTTTGTGTGAACCCTATATCTCTCTTCCTCTAAAAATTGTCTCTCTCTTCCTCTAAAGATAGGAGTATGTCCTACCACCTCTCTAGATTAGGGCCTATTCTTCGTTTAAAGATAGGAATGTGTCTTACCATTCACTAGAATTAAGACCTATTTTTCTTTTTGTGACACGTATCTACCCTTTCACTCTAGCTAAAAATGTTGAATAGATATGATTGAATATTAGCCATAAACTTAGCATAATGACACTATGGCTCAAGTGTTGTATAGATATGATTGAATATTAGATATAAACTTAGCATGATGACACTTTGGCTAAAATGTTGTATGGATATGGTTGAATATTAGACAAACTTAGCATAATGAGTAAATTATCTTAATAGATATAAAACATGGGCAGGTTTGGAAACAAGTGCCCATCAAGAAATTGAGGTTGGTTGGGGTAAATTTTTATATTTATCATGCATATAGTTGTGATGATATATATGGTAAAGTGTCAAATCTATTCCATAGTAACTTAACATAAAACTATTTGTGTTACCTCAGGTATATTCTATTTTGATTGAAAAATAGATATATTTTTTTAAAAAATAATTAATTTTTTAAACTAAAAGTATTCATTTGTGATTCCAAATGAATTTCTAAATATTAGATCTAAAAAATACACCAATTGTGACAAAATAATAGTATAGTTTGTGTAGATATGATTGAATATTTGACATAAACTTAGCATAATGGGTAAATTATTTTCTATATATAAAACATGAGCAGGTTTGGAAACAAGTGTCCATCAAGAAATTGAACTTGGTTAGGAGGTTAATTGGGCTAAATTTTTATACTTATCATGTAAGTAATTGTGATGATATATATGGTCAAGTGCATAGTAACTTAACATAAACTATTTGTTGCTACCTCAGGTATATTCTATTTTGATTGAAAATAGATATATAATTTTTAAAAAATAAAAATTAAATTTTTTAAACTGAAAAATATTAGTTTGTAATTCCAAATGAATTTCTAAAGTACCGGTAAAATCTCTCATAGTAAAATCTCTCATTATCTTTTTGTATTCTAGATGATTTGTTGCAATATACCCGCATAGGTTTTTTATTTTATATAAATAAGGTTTTTACAACGTTGAGTTTCATTCGTATCACTAAACTGCCTCCTTAAATATAAAAAAGGTCTAGAATTTGGGATTATATATTTTTATATTTAATTATAAAATTTTAAATTTAAAAAACCTTGAAAATTTCAAGTAGATTTATAAACATATGAAAATCGTGAAAATTAATGGTGTAGATAATATGTTGTAAAATGCACTATTTCTGAGACTTAAAATCTTTTTATTTTTTATGGTCATACATCTCGATGTCGAGATGATCAATCAAAAAGATTTTCAACACTAAAACTATCTTTTTCGATGGATGTTTTAGGTGCATCCGTAACTTACATTATAAGATTGCAACCTTATATAAACTTTTTCCTAAATTATAAAAATGAAAAAGTGCAACCTTATATGTAGTACTATAGATGCTCCTAAAAAATCCATCGGAAAAGGTATTTTTAATGTTGAAAAACCCTTTAATTGATCATCGTGTGTACGACCATGAAAGATAAAAAGATTTTAAGTCTCAGAACTAGTGCATTCACAACATATTATCTATACCATCAATTTTTAAGATTTTCATATGTTTATAGATCTACTTGATTTTAACCATTTTTTAAATTTAAAATTTTATAATTATATATAAAAAAAGATTTTGAGATAATCCTAAGAATATTTTACATCAAAATTATATACCAGTTACTTTTAGTAGTTAAACTCAAGAAGCATAACTACGAAGTATAGCTACTTCTTGAACTCAAGAAGAGGTCTTGAGTTTATACAATAGACCGTTAGGTCACAAGTACGTTTTTGTGATATGATAGCTTGAGTGTGTCACAAAAGTTCGAAAAAATTTGTTTTGAACCTTGAACTTGGTCAATTCAATATATATAGCCACTCAATTTTATACCACTTTGTATCAAAAGTAAATGGTCTTATTATATACTTTTTTTTAAAATTTTAAAGAAAAAAAACACCTTGTATCAAAAGTAAATGGTCTTATTGAATACTATTTCTTAAAATTTTAGGGAGAAATAACGACGTACTCATATTACTCATATGATAGAGACTGAACCTTTTCTAAGAAACAAAAACGTGACCAGCACGCTAATCAAATTTGAAACTAATGAAAAATTTACTGGCTCATAATGTTTTATTGAAAAGTAACGAGTGTTGATCCGGTGACTATCTATAATTTTTAGATAAAACAAATTTCCTGTAAAGACCTGTATAATAAAACATCAGGAATACTACCAGAAAAACCACAAAAACTACGAAAACAAAAAAAAAAAATCCTCAGCGTAAAATATCAAAAATAAAGGACGGAGGACCAAAGAGTAATTGTGTATGAAATTAACCCGATCCGTAAGTAAATGTTCCTTTCAACTAAACTGGCTCATCTTCTCCCCGTGGCCTGTTAGCTGAAGCCCCTCTCGCGCCTCCACTTCCTCCAGTCAGTCTTTGGAAAATATCAGGGTACACTACTTTTAAATCCATTCTCAACAATACTTCCTCCTTTATTTCTGAAGCATAATTTAAATTCATGGAGTCGTTCACGTCGATCTCGACTCCATTCAAAAAACTTTCCAAGATTACATTCTTCACCGCCCGGGCGTCCTCCTCGGAATGAGCTGTTAGTGGAGCACTGCATGCTCTTAGAGGCCTCCGCTTTAATCTGATTTAGCAAATCCCTCGCTTTAATCTGATTCAGCAAATCCCTCTCTTCTCCGGTTATACTTTTCATAGGCCTCAAATCGATTTTGTTGCGCACCACGGCCTCAACCTGCGGAAACGTGAGGCCTGTTGAGCAATGGTCTGACCACATGACCCTGATACGTTGAAGAAGAAGAAGAAGAGTGCGGAAAAGTGAGGCCTGTTGAGCAAT